AAAAACCTCTCCTCCGACTGGGTGTGGTGGTGCATGCCTTTAATCCCAGCACTTGGGAGGCAGAGGCAGGCGGATCTTTGTGAGTTCGAGGACAGCCTGGTCCACATAGTGAGTTCCAGAACAGCTGGGGCTACAAGGAGACCCTGTCTCAAAAAGACAAAAAAAATTTATTCTTTCTTCTATAATTTAAATTAAGTGTTTGCGTGTATGTGCATGTGTGCAATGTGCTCAGAGGCCAAAGGTGTAGGATTCCCTGAAACTGGAGATATAGACAGTTGTTAACCACCATGTGGATGCTGGGACCCAAACCTGGTTCTGTTTCTTCATTCATAAATATTTACAAGTTGGAGCTAGAGAAACACTTCAGTGTTTAAGAGACCTGGCTACTCTTGCGGAGGACCAGCATTCAATCCCCAGCACCCACATAGGTGTTAACAACAGTACTTAACTCCAGTTCTAGGGGAACTGGCACCCTCTTCTGGCTTCTGTGGATACACTTACATACATGCAGGTAAACACTCATACACATAAAATAAAAACAATTAAGTCTTTTTAAAAAGTTTTTAAGTACTTCCAAGTCTATCTCTGACCCAGAGTTCCCACCTGGGTGATGACTCCTCCCTCTGGGCACTTGGGATAACATCTGGAGACATGTGTGTAACTGTCATGCTGGAGGCTCCTGACGTGGTGGAGTGGTTGGAGGCTGGGGATAGTGCTCAGCACCCTGCAGAGCTTGAGACACCCCACAGAGGATGCATTCAGGGTGCCTAGCAAGAGAATATCAGGGATGCAGGTGTGTGATGGGGGTCTTGCTGGTGTTTGCAGTGATGTCAGAAAAAGGAAATGGAGGTGACAATCTAGAGAGTCTGGCTGGAGGGCTCTTCTACCTGCTTCTTTATCTCTCTGGTCTCTATCTCTGTGTCTCTCTTTTATTTTATTATATTTATCAAGCATGAGCCAAGGTGCTTATGGAGGTCAGAAGACAACTTGCAGGAGTCAGTTCTCTCCTTCCACCTTGGGAGTCACAGGGATTGAATTCATGCCCACAGGCTTGGTAGCAAGCCCCTTTATACCTGCTGAGCCATCTTGCCTGCCTTGTGTCTCTGTCTTTTCTGTTTCTCTGTCTCCACTCTCCTCCACACACTGTCCCCCTGGAACCCTCCTTCCTTTCTAAATCTGCTCCTGCCCCCTAGTGGCCCCATAGGTCCACCCAGACCCACAGTGGGTCCCTCTGTGAATCTCAACCTGTGTTGGGATGAAGTCTGGTGTGTAAAGGGGATTTAGGTGACCTCCTTGAGATCTGTGGGGAATTTTCCAGAGTCCAGGGGGGTGCATTCAGTGATGAAAGGAGTGCAGGATAGAGCCGGAATGGGTGACAAGGCCTCTAATTGTAGCTCACAGGAGTAACCCCCAACACCCAGGGCCTCACCCCTTTACCTGGGATTGCCATGCATGCTGAGAATGTGATCTACCCAGCCCTCCACACCAAGTTTTGTTTGCTTTGTTGCTTTTTTTTTTTTCCTTTTGAGACAAGGTCTCACTATATAACCCTTGCTGACTTGGAACTCACTATGTAGACCAGGCTGGCCTTGATCTCACAGAGATCCTCCTACTTCTGCCTCCTGAGTGCCACGATTAAAGGCCTCAGACACCACACCCTGCTTTTCCCTCTCTATACTTTAACCACTACTATGGAGCTCTTTCTTCCCCTCGTTCTTCGGTATTCCCAGGCTCACAAGTACCATGTCACTATGTGGTTACTTCAGCCTCTCCTACTGTTACTGAGAGCAATCTGATTAGACAGTGGCATGAAGTTATGAAATGTTTAGCCAAGGGGAAAACTTTTCAAAAAAAAAAACAAAAAAAAAAAAAAAAAAAAAAAAAAGAAAAACTAAAAAAGGCTGTGCATTGCTGGGCCGGGCGTGGTGGCGCACGTCTTTAATCCCAGAACCCGGGAGGCAGAGGCAGGCAGATCTTTGTGAGTTGGAGACCAGCTTGGTCTACATAATGAGTTCCAGGACAGCTGGGGCTACAGGGAGACCCTGTTTCAAAAAGACAAAAAAAAAAGGCTGTGCATGGTGGTGTACACCTTTAATTCCAGCACTCGGGAGGCAGGAGGATCTCTGTGACATGGAAGCCAGCCTAGTCTATACACCAAGTTCCAGATCAGCGGAGGCTACATAGTAAGACCCTGTCTCAAAAAGAACAAATGTTTTAAATAAAATATTTATTTGTATTTTTATGTTTATGGATGTCAGTCACGGAGCGCGTGTGGGAGTCAGAGAACAATTTGGAGGACTCAGTTTTCTCCTTCCACAATGCGGTCCCAGGGACCGAACTTAGGTCGTCAGGCTTGAGCCCTCTCTCCCGCCCCACTGCTCTTTTGCACAAGAAACGCTCCTTAAGGATGGCGCTGGCTGCGCTCTGCTGAGGTCTGATCGCACACAGAGACCAAGCAGCACTTCCAAAAGGCTCCTGGTGCAGACTTGGTAACTTTGGGCTACTTTTTGACCTTTGGACTCGCCCCCAGGGCCGATGGGAACCAGCGCCACCCGGCGCCTCAGTCTCCACCCGCACCAACCTCCCAGCCCGGGCGGTTCCCGGGAAGCCCTGGACGCTTGTGACCGCTGACCCTACTCCGCAACCCAAACCAGGTCGCCGAGATCGCGGTCCGGCTTCTGTAAGAAACTGTCCCCTTCACTCTGACGGGCGTTTATAACAACCAATCAGAGCGACGGTCCCGTCCCCTCGAGCGCTGGACCAATTTGAGTCCGGCGCCCCTCCCCGGACACATACATTCCAATCGGCACCGGGGATAGATTCAGGTCTGAGGGGCGGGGATTAAGGCCACAGCCAACCGCCGCACACGGCCCCCTCTATCCAATCGCTTTTCCTCTTTCTCTGACTGGCATCTGTAGTAACCAATAATAGTGCAGGAGCCGCCCTCTCAAGCAGAACCCGACCACGGACCAATGTCAGCTGGGGCACCCACCCCGGATCAAAGCAGTCCAATCCGCATCGGGGAGAGAGGCGGGGATGGTGGGCGGGGCTTAAAGCCACCGCCAACGGCCGAGCACGTCGGCGCCGTGAGGGGGGCGTGTCCGCCGTTGCGGTGTGCTGCGTCTGCGCGTCGCAGGGCGGTAAACAAGATGGCGGCGGCGTGTGGGGCTGGGAAAGGGGAGGCTGCCCGCGGCGCCCGCGAGTGAGGCGCGAGCCACAGAGGGCGGTGCCGGCGTGGAGCTTTCTCTCGCGGCGGGCATCTTTCTGCCTGGAGCTCGGTCCCCCCTCGCCGCTCCGGCCTCCTGCCTGTCGCGCGGCGGCTTGGCGGCGAGGGGGACGGCGCCGCCGCTCGGACTGTTTTTTTTTTTTTCCCTCCCTCCCTGGAGTCTCCGGAAGATTCCCTGTTCGAACTTGGGAAGCCAGCAGCGTGTCCTGGTGTCCCCCGTCCGGGTGGAGCTCGCGTCGGTCACGGAACTAAGAGTCCGCGCGCGCTTTGCGCGCGGGCCGGACATGGACGGCGCGAACCGGGCTTGGCGCGGCAGCCGGCGCTACTGAGCGCGCGGCGCTAGCGGCGACCATGACCTAGCGGGTCGCGCACCGCGACGGCGGACCGTCGCCTCCGCCGGAAGCAGCGTCCCCGGGGACCTGAATTGAGGGGGGACGCGAGGGTTGGAGGGGTGGGCTCGTTGCTTTTATTTTCCTTTTCTTTTTCCTCCTTGAACATCTAGAAGAAAATAATCAAAAGCGAAGAATTTTGGCGCCCAGAAAGGGGACGTGGACCCCCCCCCCGGGCTTTTGAGGGGCCTGAGAGAATTTCTGAGGGAAGAGAATCGTTTTGTTTTTTTTTTGTTTGTTTGTTTCCTGAATATTTGGAAGAAAGGAGAAATTAAACAAAGTGAAAGTAGTAAAGAGTTGGCGCCCCCAACGGGGACGAGGTGCAGGCCCAGGCAACATGGACCTGGCAGACCCCCAGCCGCTGGGCCTGTTCCCTGAGGGCGAGCTCATATCGGTGGGTATGGACACTTTCATCCACCGCATCGACTCCACCGAGGTCATCTACCAGCCCCGCCGCAAGCGCGCCAAGCTTATTGGCAAGTACCTGATGGGAGACCTGCTGGGTGAGGGCTCCTACGGCAAGGTGAAGGAGGTGCTGGACTCCGAGACGCTCTGCCGCAGGGCGGTCAAGATCCTCAAGAAGAAGAAGCTGAGACGCATCCCCAATGGAGAGGCTAACGTCAAGAAGTATGTGGGGGGGGGTATGACACAGGGGAAGGGCCTCCTAGACCTGCCTCCTCCATCCTTCATCCGCATCCTTCACCCTTCACCCCATCCTTTACCCTTCATTCCAATCCTTCATCCCTGTCCTTCCCCATCCTCCATCCTTCACCCCTATTTTTCATACCCATTCTTCATCTTTCACTCCATCCCCAATCCTCCATCCCCGTCCATCATTCCCATCCTTCATCCCCATTCTCCATCCTTCATACCCATCCTCCATGCTTCAGCCCCATCCTCAGTCCTTCACCCCATCTTTCATACCCATCCTTCATCTTTCACTCCATCCCCATCTTCCATTCTTCCATCTGTTATCCTCCATCCTTCATTCTTCATTCCCATTCTCCATCCTTCATTTCCCATTCTTCATCCTCCATCCACATTCCCCATCCTTCATCCCATCTACATTTCTTCATTTCTTTGTTTCTTTATTTTCCTTGTCATCTTTCCTTCCTTTCTGCCCTTCCCTCCCTTCCTCCTGTCATTTTTCCTTTCCTTCCTTCTTCCCTCTCCATTCTCCTGTCTCCTGTCTTCCCCTTCCTCCTCTCCCTTCCATCTTTTCCTCTCTTCTCCTTTGCGCTTTTCTCTTCTTCCTTCTTTGCACTTGCCTTCCCTTCCCCCGTCCTCCCTTATTTCCTTCTTATCTCTCCCCAATTGTCTGTGGCCCTGAGGAGCAGCAGTGGGGCTGGAGGTGTTTGTGTCTGGGTGTTGTCTCATCCCACTGGGTCTTGGCTTGGTTTACATCCAGGGCTGCTGCTGGTGGTCATGGCACAGTGGCAGCTGGTCTCCTGCAGTGGTCTAGCCATCCTTATCGTAGGCTCCACTGGGAAAGCCTGGAGTCTTGATTTTTGCAAAGCGGCCTTATCTGTGGGCCCAGCCATGGGTGGCTGTGCAGAGATGTGGCCTGTGATGTGACAGGCCATGCAGGCTGCTGTCCTCACCTGGGCTCCTGAGGCTGCTGCTCCAGTTGTGGCAGGGTCAGGTGCTGGGACCTGCATCAGGTATCTGGGGTCTCTGGAGGTGACTGCTATGTCACTGCTCATTGGCTGCAGGGGACCATCCCATGCAAGTGCCCAGTGTACCCTGCTGCCCAGCTAGCCCAAAGGCAGCACCCTTCACGCTCACACTGATGTCCTGCAGTCCCAAGACCTGCCTGGCAGCTGATGGTGACAGTCACTGTCCTGCACTCTTTTTGGGTCGCACCTGCCATGTGCCCACCAAGGGGGGCACATCTGAGTTAGTGGGAGGGATGTGATGGTGTTGTCACAGGGACACCTCCATACACAGAGGAGCTTGCAGCCGGGCTGGGTATGGTCATCTGCAGACCAGCACCTGAACATGGCCAGAGGGTCCCAAGGAGCTCAGATTGCTCATTACAAGAGCAGGGCTTATGTGAGCAACTTATCACACACCTGTCATGCCAGCACTCAAAAGGCTGAGGCAGGATTGCCTCAAGTTCTAAGCCAGCCATGGCTGCTTAGCAAAACCTGGTCTTAAAACAGAAAACAGAAGCCGGGCGTGGTGGCACCATGCCCTTACTGGGGAGGTAGAGGCAGGTGGATCTCTATGAGTTTGAGGCCAGCCTGGTCTACGTAGTGAGTTCCAGGCCAGCTGGGGCTACAGGGAGACCTTGTCTCAAAAAGACCAAAAAAAAAAACAAACAGAAAACAGAATTGACAAGATGGCCTGGGGCTCCTTGCCACCAACTTGGGACCCACACAGTAGAAGGAGACAGCCAAGTCCTATGAGTTGTCCCCTGTCACATGTGTGCTGGGGCACCAGGTGTGGCACATGCCTTTGACCTCCGTTCTTGGGAGGCAGAGAAAGGTGGATCTCTGTTCAGGGCCAGCCTGGTCTACATAGTAAGCACGTGTCTCAAAAAATACCACCAAAAAAAGCCAGGAGCAGAAACTGAGACCAGAGTACAGAGCCCTGATATGTTGCCTTACCCCAAACCCCGAGCATGCTGTGACACAGTGGCCTGGCTTCTGATGGAAAATCTGCAGGTCCCAACCGCTTTCCTGTTCCTCCAGGACAGCTAAGGGGTGCTATGTGAGCTGAGGCTGGAACCCCGAGGGTGCCTAGGCCACGTGCCAAGCTGTGATCTGGAGAAGGTCCATGGCTCCCAGCCCAGCTGCCAGCTGGCTGCCACAGAAAGTCCCCTTTGTCTGTCACAGCGTAATAAACTCCACTCAACTTGTCTCTCTCATGTGAAGTGTCCGGACCTTCCAGGCAAGCCTCTGGAGTCCTGTCCTCCAGTCCATGCTGAAAGTCTTCTCCTAAGAGTATGGTACCATAGCCTCGCGCCAAGACAGTGGGGCAGGGACAGCCTAGCACTTCCCTTCCCAGGAAGGCTGCTAGCTCTTATATTTCTGCTGTGGGCAGGGCTGGAGGGTGGGAGAGCTGAGAAAGCAGCTGAGCAACTAGAGCACCATGCACTCTAAGCCCTGTACCCTGCCTGTACTGGGATGATGGCTGCTGGTGCTGGGATGGGTGTCCTGCCTCTGGGCTTTGTGTGGGTGTAGATGCAGGGCAGTTGTGGGCCCTGCCAGCTAGGAGCAGCCAGAGACAGATGGACATAATGTCCTGAAGTGGGACACCAACCTGAGACTTGCTCTGTTTAATGTTATGTCTGCATGTCACAAAATAGGGTGCTTGTTTTCGTTTGTTTTGTTTTGTTTGATACAGGGTCTCCTTGCAGCCCCAGCTGGCTTGGAACTTGCTATGTAGACCAGGCTGACTTCAAACTCACAGAGATCCATCTGCCTCTGCCTTTGCCTCTGCCTCTGGATTTCCTTGTTTTTGTTTTAGGTTTTTTTCAGTGCTGGACATGAACCCAGGACTTTTTTGTTTGGTTAAGTTTGGTTTGATCTTTTGAGATAGTATTTCCCTATACCTCAGCTGGCCTGGAACTCATGTAGACCAGGCTGGCTTTGATTTCACAGAGATCTGCCTGCCTCTGCCTCCTGAGTGCTGGGGTGAAAGACATGAGCCACACGCCCAGCTGTCTTTTTATTTTTAAAGGTCTGTGGAGTCTAATCTGTGTTTCCCAAGTACTCTTGGGTGGGTCTATCACTTAGAGTCTGCTCAGCCTACCAGGTGTCACACCAGTGAGGAAAACTAATTCTCCCTGTCTCAGCATTTATCAGATGCCACTAGATCCTCAGCCAGCCAGCCTGCTGGGCGAGGGCTCCTACAGCAAGGTGAAGGAGCTGCTGGACTCCGAGACGAGGCTTCCTGCCTCCCGCCATTGCTGTGAGTCCTGTCTGGTTGCCCAGGTCTTGTGCAGGCTTAAGCACTGTGGGTACATATGTGCAGCTGCCCTGTGGTGTCCAGACAATCCTTTTCTAAAAACACTTATTTATTTATTTGGGGGGGGTATGCACCCATGTGATGCAGCACCCTCAGAGGCCAGAAGATCCCCTGGAACTTGAGTTTTGGACTGTTGTTAGCCACCCTGTGGGTGTTAGAAACTGACCTTGGGTCCTCTGCAAGAGCAGCCAGTGCTCTTAACCGGTGAGGTGGTTCTCCAGCCCCCCCCCCTTTTTTTTTTAAATTTCATGTAGCCCAAGCTGGTCTCCAATTCTCTGTAGTCTAGTCTGACCCTGATCTCCTGATCCTCCTTACACTCCAGTGCTAGAATGACACGCACAACATGCTGGCCATTTATTTTATTTTTCTGAGGCAGGGTCTTGCTGTGGTGCCTGGTTTTGAACTCTGGGCCTTGGGTGCTCCTCCTGTCTCTGTCCTGTGAGCTGGACCCACCTTTCCACCCTTAGCTGTTCAAATGGATGATCGCTTGCTATCTGCTGCTGACCGTGGAGGGTCAGCTGTGATTTTGAGGTTTATGTGCCTGCATTCACCACAGAAGCTGGCTTGGGCTAGCCTTCACTCCTGATTCTGGGTTGTTTGACCATCAGAGACCACCTCATGCCCCATGTCCTGTGTCAGTTTGCCCTGTGGCCGAGCAGTTTGTTGGAGCTAAAAGTGGACTGTACTGTGCTGCTTGGAGGGCTGGCCAGCAGCTCTCTTGGGGACAGGGAGCACCTGCTTAGGCAGTGTGACTTGTGATGGACTGGCACCAGACACTTGGAACGGCAGCCTGTGCTCAGCTGTCATTGTCTCTGCAGTGTCCAGATCCTGCAGCTGTCAGGTGCCGTGGGAGGGAGTGCTGGGGAGGGCTGTGAGTGGGGATGTGGTTCTGGGCTGTGGACTCTCAGTTTTCTACCCTGGTCACATGCTGCTCTTGCCCACCTGCAAGGGTACAGGGCTGCGAGGAACCTGTGTGTTCCCTTGTCTATGCCCCACCTTCCCTTCCTGTTACTGTGTGTGTGCACATATACAAGTCCGGTTCGGCCTCTAGCGTGGCCCCTCAGTGCAGTCCACCTTGTTGATTTCACACCATAATCCTGAGACCCCGGGCTCACTGATTAGAGCTTACTGGTGGCCACTGAGCCCCAGGGACCCTCCTCTCTGTACCCCACCCCCCCACTGCTGGGATCACTCAGGGCCACAGAACTGGGAGCTAGGCAGTCAGCACACTGGGCTGTGGGACTTTGCACCTGCTGCTGGAGAGGGGGGTCACCTCTGCACCCAGGACCCTGGGTCTCCCTCAGCCCTACCTTTTTCTCAGTGCTGGGGATAGAACCCAGGGCTCACTCAGGTGGCCAGCTCTGTGTCACCCAGCAGACTTCTCAGCCCTCTTTGTAGCTTTTATAGTGAGACAGGGTCTCCCTGTAGCCCCATCTGGCCTGGAATGCACTCTGTAGCCCAGGCTGGCCTCCTGTCTCTGCAGTGCTGAGTTCTGTGATAAAAAGGGTGGGCCATCACGCCCAGCTTCTTTTGACCTTTTTATTGTGAGATGGGATATGTTGCTAGGGTGCCGGGGGGGGGGGCCTTGGACCTCAGTTCTCCTGCACCTTCCAAGTGGTGGGGCTATGTGCCTGAGCCAACCTGACAGCTTTATT